TGTAATGTATATTAACACATTGACGGACATTACTGCTATAGCAGTAATATGAAATTGTTATGTGGTGTGGCGTTACTGCAATAGCAGTAATATGAAGAATTGTGTATTATGGCATTGCAGCTATAGCAGTGATATTTTCAATGGTATCAAATTATAGAGGACATTAAACTGCCACATCGGATTACTTTAGATATTGGGGCACTGGCATATTTCAAGGGAAATTATACAAATTAATAATGCTTGTTCTATTTTAAGATATTTGGTTTTTTTGTTCATTTATCGTTTATTTTATCAACGCCGATAAGCTGATTCGCAGTACGTAATGTATAATAATGCGTTGAGTAATCACATAACAATATTAGTCGTGAATGTTCGTTGTAACGAGTAGGATTACGTATTTTTGGTCTCGTTTTTCTTAAAAATTATTATTTGGTTTTTATTATACTACGTTTTAAATATGAACCGTAGAGAGCTCAATAAAGTTCAAAACTATTTAAACGAGCAAATGAGTGAATGAGTGATTCGAGTTCGGTTTCATTCGACGATTTGGATCTCGATCCAGATTATGGTCATGGACAACCTAGATCGTCCCTTGCTCGTTCTATGCCACCTGTTCGTGGTTCGTTTGATTCAGACGAAGAGTATGTGTCTGCACCACCTGAATCATTTGGTACCTCTCTTCAGCCACCTGTACCTGGTACACTAGATTCAGATGACGACATTTCCGTGGATGAAACTACAAGTGAGTCTAGTGACGATAATTATTCTGATACAGATAGTTGGGTAGAAGACTGGGATAATATTATAGATTTTAAATTTGACAACAGTTGCTGTGGCATAAAATTAAATATATCTGAAAGTGCACGTGAATTTCCATTAGAAATCTTTACTCAGCTTTGGACAGACGAAATTTTTGAAATACTTATTGAATCAACAAACAAATATAGTGAAAATATGTGTAGAAGTTGTCGACCTCATAGAAAAGGTGCACGAGGTTCCACGTTCAAACCAGTAGATTTAGACGAAATTAAAGGCTTTCTTGGCGTTTGTCTTCTTGGAGGTGCAGTTAAGTTCTCTGTCATTCGAGATATGTTTTCACAAAATCCATTATATTACCATCCAATTTTTAGTCACGTTATGTCTGGTAGAAGATTTGATCAAATACTCAAATGCTTCAGTTTGGAATATACTAATCGTCCTAATAATGAGATAGCTGAAATAATTGGCCCTATGAAAAAAATCCAACCATTTTTTGACATACTTCTTAAAAACTTTCAAAAAGCATATAGTCCCACTGAATATTTATCGATAGATGAATAGATTCATCGTGGTCGACTTTTATTCAGGCAATATATTAAAGGCAAAAAAGCTAGATAAGGTATTAAGTTTTATGAACTCACATCATTTGACGGTTTTGTGCTCAATATTGAAATGTATAAAGGAAAGCAAGAATTGCAAATGGCAATGCCCAAAAGAACATCAAAAATAGACGGTATTGTTTTAAGGTTAATGGAAAATTATCTCAATAAAGGGCATTCATTATATATGGACAATTACTATAATAGTTTGACACTTTCAAATACTTTACTCGAATATAAGACGCACACAACCGGAACACTAAGAAAGAATCGTAAAGGAAATCCAAAATGCATAATTGACAAGAAACTAAAAAAAAGGTGACCATATATGGAGACGTAAAAATTGTGTTTACGTAAGCAAATGGAAAGATAAGCGAGATGTGTTATGTATCACAACAAAAGTACAACCAAAATTAGTTCAGTCAGAAAATCGTTTTGGCCACCAGAAGAACAAACCTGCGGAGATTGTTGATCATAATCATTATATGAGTGGTGTTGACCGATCTGACCAAATGGTCAGTTACTATAGCAGTCCCCGGAAAACGTGTAAATGGTATAAAAAAGTGATATTTCATTTACTTGATGTCACTGTATGGAACACATTTTATATCTATAAAAAACATTTCAACACCCCAAATATGAAATTTAAAATTTTTCGAGATTTACTTATAAAAAATTTAATCAAACTTCCGAACAAAATGACCGCAAACGAACTTTTTGTGCTAAATAAGAAACCATCAATATCTCCAGTAACTAATCATTACCAAGAAAAAATTCCATTACCAGAAAATTTTAAGAGGATTAATTATTTCAAAAACTGTATCCAGTGCTACAAATCAAACAAAACTAGAAAGCAAACATCTTTTCAATGCAAGCAGTGCGTTAGACCACTTTGTGCAGGGTATTGTTTTGAAGTTTTCCACAAAGAATTACATAAATGAAGATTTTGTTAGTCAAGTTTGACATAATTTATATGTTTATTTTATAAAATAACCTATTCATAAATATTAAAGAATTGTATGATTAATTAATAATATAATAAAAAGTTGTAATAATTAAGTGTAATATTTAATCAATTTAGGTATTTACTATTCAAAAAAACTACTACTGCTATAGCAGTCATGTCAACTCACATAGCTTTTTTGATGTACATATAGCACTACTGCTATAGCAGTAACAATTTCATTACTGCCATAGTAGTAATAAAAAAGTGCGTTATTATAGGGGGTATTGGAAATTTCAAAAAATGGTAAGTGTCCGTCAATGTGTTAAGGACCACTGGCTAGTCTGGCTGGCAGATGTATTATTTCTCCTTCTATAATATGGAATGTATTACGCACCTAATACATATCGTGTATGGCCATGTCGTCATTTTTGATTTAGACGTATGCCACGATACTTTGTTTGTCCTTTGCCGTGCCCATAATCCACGTTTTCATTAATTTTAATATTGTCAGTTGTTATTTGTTGTAATTTGTTTCAATTTTTTTAAAATTATGGATCAATTACCTAGCAATACACGATCTCCTGCAAAACACAATCCGAGAGGAAAGGTAAGTCATTATTTAAATATTAATTAAAATGTTATTGAAAATAATTGTCATGTAACGTAGGCGCTATAACGACAAAAAATTTTTTGAAAATTTCTAGTATGAATGGTTATTCGTTTTTGAATTAAAACACAAGATATAAAAATACCGTATACTATTTTTTATTGTATAATATGTGTATTTTACTATGATGTGTTTTTTTTAAAAATAATTTCCCAGTAATTTTTAAAAAAATCAGGAAAACAAAAAAAAAGTGACGGAAAAACAGCAATTTATTTAAGCAAAACCAGTTTTAGACAAAGTGATTTTGTTATGTGGTTGTAACCAGGGCTTAAATTCTAAAAAAAAATATCGTTTTTCCGTTTTTGGCTATTTAAACGTTATACGATTTTAATGTTTAACGTTATTGTACGTTGAAACGTTATTTGATTTTTTCCTTTAAACGTTTTTGCATTATTAAACGTTATTTTAATTATTCGTTTTTTGTTAAATGTTATAATTTATAGATAAATAGGGGATTAAATGGTTATTTTCAATAAATTCTACCGTTATTTGTGGCATAATTATCCATTTTGTTATGTAAGAATTATGAAATTAGACAAATTTCCTAGTTTTTGACAAAGGCCAAAGAGCTAACTGATAAGTTAATGTTAATTTAAGTATTAGTAACTTCAGCAAGCTATGAAGTAATATTTTTTACTGACAACAAATTTTAATTTTAAGTATCATAAATTTATAAATTATCACATTATCTAATACTCTGGTCTCTGTGCACTAGAAACAAAAATAAAATGGCATCATATGAAATAGAAAATGTGTTTAATAAATTATAATTATATTAGTCAACTGACTGCTTGAAGTATATAAATTACAAAATAGTAATTAGTTAATCTAAATAGCAGCTTAAACATTTTAAATGTTCAATCTTCAATGTAACTCTATAAATTATTAATATAATAACTTACCAGTATTAAGTGTTGCAATTTGTAATAGGTAGGTATTAGACTTTTTAGCTCAAAATTGTAATTATAAAAAATACTAAATAGTTGTAATTTACAAGTTTACGACTAATATTTTATAGATGGTAATATGTAATGAAGTTGTTATTTGTATCTAGAATTAATATTTATAAATAATATGATATTTAGTGTATTTTAAAATTTAAATTTTATAATTTTTTGTTGAGCAGTTATTTCACAATATAATACAATTTGTTTGACAGAAATTATTCAAACAAACTTATATTTAAATAATAAATAATATACATTTATAAATTAATAAATCATAGGCATTGATTAGTTGAATATTACAGAAATAAACGTATTTACGTCTTATAAAGTAATAAATAAACCTGAAAATAATTCGGAAAATATAAATTATTGTCAACAATAGTTAGCCAACTTTGAATTGTTCATAACGTTAAGATTTAAAAAAAAAATCATATTGAGTTCAATGTAAAAAAAGCTCTAATGTTTTTTCGATTATCGTTACCTATTTCCAATTTTTTTACGTTACAAATACGTTTATTGTTAATTTTTAAACATTAGTTGTGATTAATGATGTATTATGTTTAATGTTATTCGATTTTTTTCGTTTTTCGTTTATTTATTTTATTTAATTTTTGTTAATTTTTTTCCGTTATAACGTTTAAATTATAACGTTATTTTTAATGTTTTGAAGCCCTGGTTGTAACTACATAAAAAAATAGATTTTGTCAGAACAGATTTTTCATAAAAGTTCTTGTTTTTTGTGATTGTGAAACGTAGCTTTGTAAGTACATAATTTGAGTTATGTAACAACAAATCGGTTTATGAAACTTAAATTTTGAATTGTTTTGGCCATTTTTTGCCTTTCAAGTGCATATTTTTAATGCATTTTTAAAGTTTTATAGTTTAAAAAAATTTATTACGTTTAACCTTATTAGATCACATATAGTACATAAAACGTTTAAATATGTGTTTGTATTAGGTATTAACTATGACTTATATTTCAAAATCTGATGTGGATAATATTGTAATCTAAATATATTTATTTTTCTCAGTTTGTTTGTTCCCGTCAAAAAACGATGATTATTAATGCATATAAAGCCAAAATGATCGAAAACCCTGAACATAAAATGGTTCACCTGAAAAAAACTTTATCTTACGAACTTGGAATTGGTCAATCGACAATTGATAACACCATATTGGAGTATCAACGGACAAAAACTGTTTCTTCGCCAAACAAAACAAAAGTCCGAAAACAACTGACCGAAAAAGTAGATGAGTTTGACAAGTATGGTATCAGAAGAAAAGTGCATCAATTTTGGCACGATCGTGATACGCCTACGTTAGACAAGATTCTTGTGTCCGTCAATGAAGATAAAGGTCTACCAAATTTTTCTCGAACATCATTATTCAGATTGTTGAAATCTATGGATTTCGTATATATGAAGCGAGGTTGTAATAGTGGTTTGATTGAAAAATCTGAAATCATACTTTGGCGGAGAAGATATTTAAAAGATATTAAAAGATACAGAGAAGAAGGAAGGCCAATTTACTTTCTAGATGAAACGTTGGTAAACGCCGGAGATGTTAATAACAAAGTATGGGTCAACAAAACTGTAACGTCAGCTCGAATGGCATCTTCCGAGGGACTTTCGACTGGAGCAATAAACCCTACTGGCAAGGGGAAACGTTTAATTGTTAGCCACATCGGTTCCGAAGATGGATTTGTTCCCGGAGGTCTTTTGTGCTTTGAGTCAAAGAAAAACACCCAAGACTATCACGATGAGATGAACGGGGACTCTTTTCGTGATTGGTTGGAAGGTGTTTTGCCGAAACTCAAAGACAACGCTGTCATCGTAATGGACAACGCTCCTTATCATTCGGTGAAAATTGAAAAATGCCCAACTACGAATTGGAGAAAAGCTGACATAATTGCATGGCTTTAGAGCAAAGGAGAGCAAGTCGACAACACAATGCTTGTCATAGAATTGTTAGACCAAGTTAAAAAATTGAAACCATTATATAACAATTATGTCATCGATGAAATGGTAAAAGCTAACAATAAAATTGTCCTTAGACTTCCTCCGTATCATTGTGAGCTTAATGCAATTAAACTCGCATGGGCTATAGTTAAGAAACATGTCAAAGATAACAACAAAACTTTTAAATTACAAGATATAAAACACTTGTTAGTTGAAGAAGTGAATAAAATTAGCCCTGATATGTGGAAAAATTTTGTCGGTCATGTGATAAAGGAGGAAGAAAAAGCATGGAGTTTGGATAATGTGGTCGAAGATCTCATGTCAGCAGAAAATCAGCCTTGTGTTCTTACTATTGGCCAAAGCGACACGGATGATGACTCGGACGACGATGATGAAGACTTCAGATACCTATCAGATACAGACTAAATTTTATTAATTAATTATTATACATTATTTTTACTCGAATTGTTGTATAATAGATTGTGTTGTGTATATATGTATATAAAATTTGTACATATTATGTTGTTATACTTTGTGCCATTTTGTATTTATTATGTACTACTGTGTGTAATAATTGTTGTGTTGTGTATATATGTATTTTGTATGTATTATGTTGTTCCACTTTGTGCCATTTTGTACATGTTATGTTGTTCTGTGTGTAATAATTGTTGTATATAATACATTATGTTGTGTATATATGTATCTAACAAATGTTTTAACCCGAGTTGTATTTTTTAAGATATAATTGAGTAATTTGGTAAGGATTACGAAAGAATGTATACAAAATAAAGTTCAACAGTACGACTGTACAGTACTTGCGCCGTCGGGCGACTGCCGACAATGTAGTGGTGTATGCGCGCTGCGCGCGTAAACTTTGAAAGAAGGGGTATCGGTTTGTCACGAGGCCGGCCTCGGCCGTCGTCGTCAACGCTTGGAAGGGGTAATTGGGGTCCGGCGTCGCTGAAGCCGTCATTCGTGATGCGCGAAAAGTGATTATTCTCTCGTGGAATGGACTTTAGTATACTGTGGTTCAGTGGCGGTTTTGGGGGTGAGGCAAGTGAGGCGCCGCCTCACCTACAATTTTAAGTAAAAATACTATTAAAGTATAATTTTTGGCCCCCGGAAGAATATACATATTTCGATATTAATTTTTAACGTTTTTATGATTTTATTTGAGAAAAAAATCTTTGCCAAGTTTAACAATATGAATTATCATTTATTATATTGTAAATGGTAAATCATATTATCATTTAGTGTTTATTTCGAAAAATAGTGATAAACCGATAAGAAATGTATGAAATAATTATTACGTAAACAAACGCTGGTGTTTCAACCGGCGGCAATGTTCTGATGACGTCAGTAGGCACCGTTCAACTCCGCCTCAGAATATGTACTATTGTGTACACGAATTACACACACAAGCGTATGTACGCGAATGCACGCGACTATTAAATAACTAGAGTTGCGCATGCGCAATGATCATTGTGAGGCTCGATTAACATCGCCTAATGTACTAAAAATAGACTCGGTATACAGGAATTATTGTCAGCCGGCATTTCAACGTAAAAACACATTATCAGTAAAGATGTTATTGTTACAATCGAGACTCGGGACAGTCCTAATTAAACCGTTGTCCGTTGTAATATCTATTGATAATATATTTATTATTTATATTTATCATTGGTCATTTCCGTCTTGACGTCTTGTACGAATAGTCGCTTGTGTCTTACACTTTTTCGGTGGTTCCGGTTTGTCTTAACGTCTACGTTAAAGTATATGTGTGAGTGCTGCAGTTTGTAATAAACATTATTAAATTAATTACTGTTGGAGTTATGACGTATCCAGTAACAGACGTGGTAGTTATGTTGTTGGAGACGCCGTTTCGACGATGGACTTCTGATAGTAAAAATGATTTACTAAAAGTGGGTAAGCCTATTCCGATTTTGTCAGCTTTGGCTACTGACAAGAAACTAAGTAAGGTATTCTGTAGGGCATTTAATCCAAATTTATATCAACAACACTCTTGGTTATGTGGGAGTCATTATATACAAAAATTGTTTTGTTGGCCATGTTTGTTGTTAGGTAAAATGAAGTCTGTGTGGAATACTGTTGGGTATTATGATTTGAAAAATTTATCTAGAAGTATACAAATACATCAAACATCAAAAGAACATATTCATAATCATTTAGGATTAAAAAACCTCGAAAAAGATTGTTTTACTATACTAGATGTTGTTAATGAACATGGTAATTTGTTTAAAAAAAATTATAATGAGAATGTGAGATTAAATCGTTTATTTATGGAGCATTTAATCGATTTGGTTTTATTTTTGGGAAAACAAGAGTTGGCATTTAGAAGTCATGATGAAAGCAGTGATTCATTAAATAAAGGGAATTTTAGAGAGTTGTTTGATATGCATATTATTAGGTGTTCTCAAGAAATTCAAAATCATTATAATAGTATAAAAAACATATTTTCAGGTATGTCCAAGTCCATTCAAAATGATTTAATTTCATGTATTTTTGAATTTTTAATAAACCAAATAAAAAATGAAATCAAACAATGTAAATTTTATTCCATTCAAATTGATGACACTACAGATATTAGTCAAAAAACACAATGTTCAATAATAATTAGATATGTTACAGATAAATCTGAATTGGTTGAGCGTTTCTTGGGTTTTCATAATGTTAGTGAAGACCGCACGGCTCAAGGTTTATTTAATTTGGTTAATTCTGTTTTACATGAGTTTGATATAGAAAATAAATTAGTTGGACAATGTTATGATGGGGCATGTGTAATGTCTGGGCATTTAACAGGTTTACAAGCTAGAGTTAAGGAAGTTGCACCAAATGCTTTATTTACACACTGCCTAGCTCACAGATTAAATTTGGTATTGCAACATGGTTGTAGTATAAATGCTAAATGTCGTATATTTTTTGCTAACCTCACTGGTATCGCTGCTTATTTTCACAATTCCACTTCACGTACTAATTTTGTAGATACTATTGTAGGGAAAAGAATTCCTCAATTTGTTCAAACAAGATGGTCCTCACGGTCAAAAATTTTACACACAATAGTTAATGAGTGGTCTGGGTTTATAAATGTTTTTGACTGTATTAGCAAAGATCCAAAATCGTCATCTGAATCTATTTGTGGTGCTATTGGTCATTTAAAAAATTTAAAAACTTTTGAATTTGCTTTCTTAGCACTGATATTTAGTGATATATTCATATATACTGACAATTTATTTAACATACTCCAAAATAAATCATTTGATGTGGAATTTTGCTTGAGAAAAATAAATATAACATATGATCTTATAAATAAAAAAAGAAATGAACATGAATTTTTAAAATTATTTAATCAAGCAGTTACTCTTACAAAACCTCCAAAAGCTACAAGAAATGAATCTAACAATCAATCAAATTTTAAAATATTGTTTTATGAAATAATTGATAATATTCTAATGCAATTAAATACCAGATTTCAAGATACAAATAAATTACTTTTTTTGCAGTTAGCTGATGTAACTAAATTTAAAGAATATTCTTGTACATTTCCTGTAAATGCTTTAAATAATTTGAAATCAACTTATTCTAATATATTTTATAATATTAATACATTAAAAGTTGAATTGGAGGTTTTGTATAGTGATGTAAAATATCAAAATTTATTACACATTTATGACATGGTTAAAATTATTGAACAAGATGCATTGAAAGACATTTTACCTGAAGCTTATAAATTATTTATTCTTATTTTAACCATACCATCAACTAGTGTATCAAATGAAAGAAGTTTCTCTTGCCTCAAAAGAATTAAAACCTGTTCTCGAAATAGTATTTCACAAGTTCGTTTAAGTTCCCTTTCAATACTATCTATTGAAAAGTCCTTGATTAATCAACTTAAAAAAACTGAATCATTTTATGATGATATTATAAACATCTATTCTAGACAAAAAGATAGAAGTATAAATTTGACATACAAAACATAATAGTTTTATTTAGTTAATTAATAGTTTTAGAACTAGACATACTTAAAAGTCCTCTTCAGGACTAGACATACCTACTTGAAAAGTCCTTTTTAGGACTAGGCATACTAACTTAAAAAGTCCTTTTCAGGACTAGGCATACTAACTTAAAAAGTCCTTTTCAGGACTAGGCATACCTACTCAAAAGGTCCTTTTCAGGACTACCAAATTTTAAAATGCTCTGCTTATTACCTATCTATCACTTACTATATTATTTACTATACGAAACAAGTATATTATTAGCATTCATACAATTATAATTATTTTTATGTTTTTAAATTACATTTATTGTGAATTCTAATTTTGTATGGTGGGAGGGGGGTGATACATAGGTTGCCTCACCGAAAAATACTACCAGAACCGCCACTGCTGTGGTTTAATATTTTAAATTTATTTATAATATGTTCAAACTCTGGTTAAATAGGGTAAGAATAACTATATCCAGTATATGGCGGGGTGGCGGGGTAGAACATATCTTACGGGGTAGGTAAGTCGGGTTCGATACCCGATCAGTTATTTTGCAGTTTTCGACGGAAATAATTTGATAAAATATGATAAGTGATAACAAATGATAACTGATAACAATTGATAATTGATTAGAATAACATAAATATGATAAGTGATAACGATGATATGATAACTGATTAGAATAACAGCGGTACGTATGTCACACAGACGTCGCATTGCGCCTAAAGTAACTTTTTACCTTTTGCCTATCCGATTGCGGCCGTCCATAGTAGGTAGGAAATACTATTTAAGTGGTTATCAAAACTAAATAAATATCCGGATTGCGTCCGATACGTATTTTGACATAAATACAACTATTGTATTCGCGATTCATACGATCGCCAATATTCTTGATAATTTCCAGCTCATAAAGATAAAAATCAGATAAACTGTAAGATTGCAAGGTTGCTAGTGGAACACAATTGTATATTGTACTGTTAGTGTTTGATTCTTCGTTTTATAAAGTTTTAATGATGGAAATTCACGAAATGCTTAGCGAAAAGATAAACTAATATTAGTATTTTAAGTATAAATTTCGATTTCAAAGTTATTAGCAAATGAAATGAAAATGGTGTTGTAAAGCTCTGTCAAATGATTCAATAAGAAATCTTAATAAAGTCAAAGTAAATTTAACGTTAACGATCACAATCATGAAGCCAATACTAAACAAATTTTGAAACGTCAAAATATACGTAATGATTTTAAAAGAAAAGCAAATGAAAATATTTGTGAGCGACCATCAAATTAATCCATTGTGGTTTAAAGAAGTGAGAGATCCAAATTAATAATTAATAATATATTAACATACAACATTTTCTTTTCGATTATATTAATAGGAATTGAGATATTACTACTAAGGATGTGTGTTTTCGAAAGGAATTTATAGGGCCGTAGAAAATCCTTCCAGCTCAAAACAAATATAAAAAGTACATGACGTTTAAGGTCCATTGATACTAAAAATGAGGTGAACAATTTTACTATCATGAAGTTATTAAATTTTAT